TTAAGTGAAGTGCTTTTTAAGTTCGGTGTGTTTATAGCGTAAAAAACTGTTTATATAACTTAGGAGGGGGAAGAAAAGACGTTATGTCTCCCGTCACGCCACCATAAAACACGATCGATGTACTTTTAATTTACGTAATACATTTTTCTCAAACGAATTCACAAAATAGAAAGTAAATTGTCCTATTTTAAATTCACCATTTGTTTATTTCAAAGATTTTAAGGACAATAAACAAGATGTTAAACTGCAGCATCAACTCTTAGATGTGTATATAGATAAAGTGGAGGGATTTTTTTTAGTTTAATGATATATATCGCGAATCACGATAACCTCTATTGACAAGAAATTTGTTAATTAAATTGGCAGCAGACTCCAATTTTACCGAGTACTTTGTTATTTTAGCACTCTCATTCTATAACATTCCATTTTGACAGAATAATAAAATACAAATACTCATTAATAGTACTATTGTAATTTATTTTCAAATAAGAGATTTAAATTCTAGCATTTAAAGATATTTTACCTGGCCGGTATTACAAGCATCACCTGTCAATTTCAAAGAAATAGTACAATTTTACAGCAACTTCTGCTGCAGAATGTAGGATTAGTAGTAGACAATTTTCACACTTTTATTAAATCGTGATTTTCAATTGATTTTATCATGACACGATATTTGTTAAATGTACTGGTATCTTAATCTGATTTAACCTAGTAATTTGTTCTTTTTTTGCCCTCCCATCCCATTTTGGGTTTGTTTAGTACTGTGTTCCGTTTGGACAATCGTGGTTTTTTATTTAGTCTGTACCCGCGATGCACGATGGCACGATGGTGAAAACGCGATGGCACGATGGTGAAAACGCGATGGTACGATGGTGAAATCGCGATGGCGCGATAGCACGATGGTGAAAACGCGGTGTGACATCGCGTTTTCACCATCGTACCATCGCGTTTTCACTATCGTACCATCGTGTATCGCGGGTAGGGGAGAAAAAATATCACGATTGTCCAAACGGAATACCGTAGTTTAAATTCAAATCAAGTCCAAATTACACCGACATTATTATGATCATATGGTTGATTTCAAACTTGAGTGATAGAAGAAGACCTCGGGTGCCCCTCAGTGCATTATTTCAGGCACGAGCGGACACCTGAGTTTAATAATTAGAACCATCAGAAATCTTTACCACTCAGCAAAAGAAACCCCCTTCCATGAGTCTGTTTTAAAAAGTTGCTGTTAGTAAAGTAAATTCAAAGTGCTGCAGCACTGAATGCGACGGACATGCAATCGAGAGACATTTAGGTTTTTTTTAGAAAAAAAAAAAAAACACACACACACAAAATATAACAGAGAAAATTTGTTCCATACAAGTTCGAGATTTGTAGAGCAATATATGTTGTGTCCCAATCTGATATAATTAAGATTTTCTACTTTCAAGCATTTAAATACAGAATGAAATTTATGCCTAAAACTCTGGTCAAACTTGTAAATCAGTGTCCTTATCGATTTATTCCAAAAAATGATATGTAAATAGAAAAAAACTGTCAACGAAATATTTCTAAAATAAAACCATGCAAATAAACCTAAAATAAAACCATGCAAATAAACTTCAAGCATAATACATTATACATGTGAGAATGCTATTTAGAATTGCTTCGTGTTATATCATAGTGGGCATATAGACAATAAAATATAAGTCATTTGTATTTTTATTTCTCTTGGATATGTCTCATTAAAAATATTTTTGGTTAAAATCATCAGCAATTAATAGTGTATTTTTTAGATTTTTTTTCATTTACAAGGGCCAGAGCACATCGTTTTTATTTTAATTTAAATGTCACTTAAGCACTACAGTGTTTAGTTGTCCTTTTCAATTTCACACTAAATTCCATTTTCAACTTGTTTGCTTCTTACACTTGTATAGAATTTCTAAAAGTATTGCATGTAATCCGCTGGTTTATTACATGTATAATGTGTACTCCCTAATCGTCTGTCCAAAAATCAGCACAGTGAAGCAGAATCTATTTTTAGAATAGCGAAGGTTAACTCATATCGTGACCTGGAAAAATATGTAAACAAACCACAAGAATCGGAAGTAGAACTGATATTATAACTTCCTTCAATAAATACATGATGGTAAAGTGTTGAAAAACTCTCTTGTTACATGCATTTTCAAAAATAGATATTTATACTAACCATTGTACTGTATCTAATTTATTAATAACTGCTGAATATTCAGCTAAACCCACGGTATGAGTCACGAAAATAGTTTTTCTTTTATTAATGCGCGAGCTATTCTAGAGTCACGAAAAACTTTCGATTTGATAATAATAATGTTTTGTATAATGTAGAAATATTTATTTCCTACTAATAATTTCTTGGAACTCAGAGCTTACACTTTTATTATAGTATAATTTGCTGTCCTACTTTTTCGACAGCGGTAAATCGTTTCGGCAGTAATTTGCATATTGCGCAATAATACTACGAGACTTCAACGTTTTTATCAATCATATACGTTCATATTTTAACTTGGATAACTTAATTTGAAATTGAAAAGGCTAAATATGGAAGATTTTAAGATATCCCGACAAAGTATGGGAGTTTTAAAGGATCAAATTCATGTACTATTTCTTGGGCTGTTAATCGGTTGAGGACACTTTGCGCGATTGTAGCCGACGAAATCCCATGTGTAGATGACTTAGCTCTGAACGCGCCTGAGGGCGCGTCCGTCGCAAAAACAGAACTTCCTTAGTGATGTCAACATAAAAGATTTGTAAATGGTGTTATATATATTGATTATCTTCTTATCAGAAAGGGTATTTAAACAGTTCGGCTTCCGTCCAATGCAAGGATACGTAATTTCAAGGATCAATCAAGTAATTTTTTTCAAGCTGCACCAAGCGGAGATAAGTAATTACAAAAAAGAAATATGGGGAATTAACGTGAGTCAGTGTATCTGAAAACTGATGTCATACAAATATTTGGCCTCTTTTCAATACAGGGGTAGGTAATTTCAAGGATCAATTAAATCATTTCTTACTGATACACAAAGCTATGTGACTACTGTTCAAATGCATACCGCTTAAGTCTATCTTAAATAATTGGTAAGTGGATATTAAAATAGCTTCCTTTTATCTTAAAAATTAAACCCTTGAAAATCCTTTAAACCTCATATACAAATATCTAACCTTCTTCTTACCGCTTTATTTACGATTATTTATCACGAGATGACAACAGGTACGTATATTTAAATATAGATTCAGCCTTACGTAATCAAAGACATAACGTTAATCGATTTATTGAATAAAAGATTCACACTCATTTATCAATTTCAGTTTAAAAAATAGCAATTGAATTCAACTCTTCTTAAAACATAGACACATATTATTTTTTGAAAAAAAAAGCAAAAAAAAAGTGTTTGGAGTATCCATTTGCACTATTTTAAACAAATTTAAGAAAAAAATGTGTGCGTGTGTGCTTAACAACAACAACAACAACAACAACAACAACAACAACAACAAAAAACAACAACAACAAAAAACACTACAACAACAACAACAACCACAATAGCAGCAACAACACTAATGAGTGTAATTTAATTTTGATTAGCTTAATTTTAAGCTTTTTTAATGTTGTTAAAGCACCTTTTACACAAACAAAAGATTAACCTAATGTATTAACCAAAACAAATAAATACATAGATCAACAAGGGCAATGGAGGTTCACATCGTCGTAACAACTGCGGATAGATATATAGAGATTATTTCAAATTTATAAAACTAGTCTTTGCACAAAATCACCCGCTGTGATAAGCTTTAACTGAACTTGAAGTTTGCAATCTTGTAGTTTGTCATTTTTAACGACTATTTTCAATTACCTATCTTTAATTTCAATGGATTTCTCAATGTTCAAAATCCCCATTTTGCTAGCCTATCTATACATGATAACTTATCTGTGTTTACATGGACTATTCTCCGACTGACAGTGCTACATTAAGGCTAATCATTGGGAATATCTTAACTTGTAAGACAGGCAGGCGGGCAGAGAAATCCCCTCTTGTCTAGTTTTACTTGAAAGAGTTGTTTATTTTTTTTTCAAACAAAGCTCCTTGACTTTTATACATATACACAGTGACAAATTACGATCAATGTTTCCTAAGTTAAGAATTTGTTAAATTGGTTCAATTCGAATAAGATCTTTGGCTACTCGCCTGCAGTATTTTAAAAATGAATGTTTGATATTTCGGCATGCCAAAATATGTTCTCTCCAATTATTGCTGTTAATTAATTCCTTTATTTTATTTATTCGACATGTTGAAACTAAACGATGTTGAAGTTTCTACAAAACTAGTTATACTGTACAAATTTACATCTTGAAAATTTAAAAGTTGTTTTTACTTTGTGTTTTATATAATACAATTTTACACCGTTTAAAAACATACGGATCTGGTTTTACCCCTGATAATTTGTCGCTGCAATTTGATAAAGAGAATAAGAACTTCGGTTTCTCAAATCTTACATTACCTGATTAATAAAAAAAAAAAAAAAAAAAAAAAAAAAAAAAAAAAAAAAATCCCCCAATTTCATACAAAAGTTCAACACGACTCTATGTCATATGACTTATAATTTGATTCAAAACTCATATTACTCATATTATATAGATTCATGCTATAAATTGTAAAGGATTTATAATTTAAACTGATAAAATCCACATATTTTAGATTCGTGCTATAAATTGATAGATTCCACATTTTGTAGATTCATGCTGTTAATTGATATAATCTGCATGTAACACATTTATGCTAAAAATTGACAGTTTCCGCATGTTTTAGGTTTATGCTATAAATTTGTAGAACGCGTTGTTTGTTGCACTGCAGTTCTATTACAGAAGACTCCATTAAAGAAAAGGGTATATATGGCAGTAACGTTTTGATTTCAAACATTCAAGTTCTCAAATATAGTTTTTGTTCATAATTATCATGACAGTTTAGGCATTTTTTGTTTGAGGCTATGACACCATGGCCACTATCAGGACAAGAGGAGAAAGCGGTATAAAACTGAAGTATGACATGTCATATTCAGATATAATAATTTTAAGGGTGATGACGACTAATACATTTCAAATGAAATGATATAAAACATTACTGTCTATTCATCTTTAATTTCAGAACGGGTGCATCTTGATTTTTTTGAATTAAAGATGTAATAGACAGTACTCATTTTTATATAATTTCATTTTTAATGTATATTCATCATTACCATTCCTGTTATATGATGAAATCCTATCGGAAATTAATTAATTAATTACTGGAATTTTTTAATATAATAACAGAACTTTAAAAGAAAAAAAAAATAACAGGAATATTTTATGTTGTTTTTCAGTGGAAAGATGAAGTATCAAGCAACTTGTGTTTTAATTTGTCTTTGCTTGATTGCAAGTCTCTTTCAACAAGGTTTGCTTTATTCTTTAAAGAGTTTTTGTGATTTTTTTCTTTAACTAAGTCTTTGCTTTGATAATTGTTAATATATAAAATAATTTCAGTACAATTAAATTATCATGTTCATGCATCACACATGTACGGTTACACGCATGTTAATAGGACTCACACGCATAAACTCAAAAACAAAAACAAAACAAAGGTACTCTAAATACACTGAAATAATCAGTAGATTTTCTTTTGACAAATTTTAGTGTTTTATAGACAGTACTATAATCAGTTTAGAAAATAAAACATAAACAATTATATAATTCACTGTCAGTACATACAATGTATACGCAGAAACTACATAAATCATTTTATTTCATATATGCATGTACGTATACTCATTAAATGCCAAAAAGTACCGGAAAGAATTTAAAGGAGATTCAGAAAAGATACAAATATCTGATTCATCTAGGCTAATACTACATGATGTTAAACTGAGAAAAGTAATGTTTACAGTGGCGTGTTATTTTATCACACATTAACTAGCAATAACAATGTTGAAGAACATTTGTTACAGGTTTAATGCATAGACACATAGACAAAATAAACATTATTTCATATACTTTATTGTACCATTTGCACGATCTTTGACTATGAGACAAATTAAGCTAAAAGAAAACAAAAACAACAACAACAACAACAACAAAAACAACAACAACAACAACAACAACAAAAACCAATAACCTAAAAGCCCAAATATCATTTTTGCCTTGGATTAAAGTTTGACATTTTATCCTTGATTACCGTACACAAGTTCATGGATTTCCATTTTTTTGCTCCATCTCTTTTCAGTTGAAGTAAATAAAGACTAACATTCCCTTTAAACAGTCTTTTTTTTTTTAAAAAAAAGGCAGTACATTAGGCAAAGGAAAAAAGAACTCTTTAAAATTCTTAAAATATTTGAATATTTCCAAATTAATGAATGTTGCTGAGATCCTCATCTTCACAAATGCGTACAAAGATTAAAGACGACATGTTTCTATAAAAGTTTTTGGACTATTTTAGCATTAAATCCAAATTATTAAATACAAATGTATTTCTATTTTTACCCGTTTATTACTAACCATTGTCAAGCAAATCTCCATAACCTTGAAATATTCATCGAAGTTGGACACATAAATAGACTCTGATTTTGTTTGCTTTGAAACAGGCGTAACAGCTACTACAACTAAAGCAGCTACCTCTGCAGCAGCTGCCTCAAGTTCTGGTGTCAGCTCAAGTTCAGGAACTGGTACCGGAAGTGGATCAGGGTCTGGAGGGGGCGGTGGAGGTTCTTCAGGTAAGGTTCATCAAATCTTTCAAGTTCTATGCTTCTTCAATAAAAGGAATAAACTTATCTTTTTTGTGTCGCCTTGAAAAAGGCGACATAAAGGGGCTTCTTTTGTCGGCGGCGTCGTTGTCGGCGTCATCGGCGTCCCCTTAATCTTGTCCGGAGTATAAAAGTCAGTCATTAAAAGTTGGATTGACTTCAAACATGGTATGCATGCTCCTTATAATGACCCGAAGTGCAGTGCACAAGAACCGGTATTCTGCACTTCTTTATTTGTGAGTTATTGCCCTTTGTTAATTTCATACTTTATTTTTGTCCGGGACATTTCTCCTAAAGTATATAAGCTATGGACTTGAGACCTTATAGGATGATAGATCTCATTTAGAAGAAGTGCAGTGCACAAGAACTGGTACTCTGCATTTCTTAGTTTTTGAGTTATTTCCCTTTGTTAATTATCATACTTGATATTTGTCCGGGCCATTTTTCCTAACGTATAAAAGCTATGGACTTGAAACTTCACAGAATGATAGATCTCATTAAGAAAAAGTTCAATGCACATGAATCGGTACTCTGCAATTCTTTTTTTTTGAGTTATTGCCCTTTGTTAATTTTGATACTTTATTTTTGTCCAGGTCATTTCTCCTAAAGTATAAAAGCTATGGTCTTTAAACTTCATAGGATGATAGATCTCATTAATAAAAAGTGCAGTGCTTAAGAACCGGTACTCTGCACTTCTAATTTTTGAGTCATTACCCTTTATTAATTTTCATACTTTATTTTTGTCCAGGCCATTTCTCATAAATTATAAAAGCTATGGACTTGAAACTTCATAGGATGATAGATCTAATTGATAAGCAGTGCAGTGCAAAAGAACTGCTGCTCTGCACTTTTTATTTTTTGAGTTATTGCCCTTTGTTAATTTTCATATTTCATTTTTGTCCTGTTCCATTTCTCCTAAACTTTATTGTTCACAAGAGACACACCCGACTCGCGGAGTTCTAGTGATTATTTTTCAGGTATATGTTTTTCAGCTGGATATAATCATTGCATAGGCAATCTCATTTTACGTATATTATACGGTTTATTAGATATAAAGCAAACAAAAGTGTAGAAAATACAATTACCAGAAACAAAAGATCGATGGTACTGATCACGAACTTGTTGTTTGTACATAATTCAAACCAATATCACAAATAGCACATGACAAACTTTACAATAGGTTAGACAATTCCAGATGTCAAACAAGTTACACTTCTACACATTTGAAATGTCAAATTTCGAATTCATTGTACAATAATGACGACAATATTATTAAGGATAAGAATAATTTATTTTGATCAAATAAAGCAACTTTGAAGCATAAATCCACTAAATTAACTGTTGACAGGTAATGTTACAATGTATAGCTTAACTGTTGACAGGTCATGTTACAATGTATAACTGAGTGTGTAATATAATCGTTATCAAGCAACTCGGGAGAAATCTTTATATCAAATAAAATAAAAAACTGGAAACAAAGTGATCCCTCGGAAGCATTAATAACAACAAAATTACATGAAAATTGCAGACTCAGTTTTATTAAGTCTGCACATGAGGGATAATGGATAAGTGCAACATCCCGTATGCAGTAGAAATGCTATGAAAATAAAAACAAGCATACAAAATGACAATATCCATATAAGGACATCATTACGAACATTTTATACATGTTTATTTCTACTTTTTTCAGTTGTTCGTGTGAGTGGTGTTATGGTTGTCCTGGCTGGAGTTCTTGCATTCATTTATAACACCAAGACATCCTTCTAAAGACTAAAGTGCTTTGTTTTAATATTTATTTATTATATGACACATGCCTAGAAATGTGATTACACAAGTCTATGTGGGTATATGATGACGAAATTAGATTTTTCTGATTACCTATTTTCACATGTCATTTACATACGTATTTTTACATAACATTATATGAAACATAGCTCGTTCTTTATTCTATACTGGTAAAATATGACGAAAGCAACATCCTATCGGTTGACTTTTCGATTACCTCATTCAGATGATTAACGATTAAAGATGAATAAAATTGTGTTCTTTGTTAACGTTATATTACTCCCGTAAAAACGTTAACTTGCTAAATTTGTTATAAGAAATTTACCAGCTTTGAACTCAGAAAAGTCCATTCAAAGTTTAAGAGATTTTAAATTATAGAAATTGAGCCACTAACAATGTAGACTTTGGAAAAGCTGCACGGATATGCAGGTTGGTCTGACTCACGCTGGTGATAAATGCTAATCACTATTGATTACATCAAGTTAAGAGTGAATATCTCTTGTTAAAGAAGTCCGCCGACTTAACTCAATTAAAAGAGCACGGCTTATTAACCCAGGGGTCGCTTATTCGAAGATTGAGTCTTCGTCTGTAACCCTGGTTTAAAACTCATGAAATACAGTCTCATATTAAGAATCGTTAACTCCTTGGTATTATGTAAAGACATTTTTAATGAAATCTGATCTGTATATGGACAATGTGAAATGTCTTTTTCATAATTTTTCGTTGGTTTAATAAAACTAAATTTGTGCTTATTTCAACTGAAGATGCACCCCACATCAACGTCTTTTGAGGTGCAAGATACAATGGTGCAAATAGCTAGTATCGTTGGCATGTCATCAAGAGAAAGATCTATGCTCGATGGATTCCCCATTTGCTGACAGGCGAGCTGAAAAAGGGACACATGCAATTCGCTAAGATGTTGCTTAAACAGCATCCAAATAACAATGCAAAGTCTTTTGAATCAATTGTGAAGTGACATGGATTCATTTTTATGAAAACAACACCAAAACAAGATTTGGCTACAGTCTTGCAAAAGACCGTGCATTGCAAAAAGGACCCTCAGTTCAGAAAGGTGATGCATGACATTTGCTTTACAACTGAGGGTCTCGCCGTTCAGATTGCTGTTTCTAAAGACAAACCAAACTTTTAGCAAGACACAATATTTTCGGAAACTAAACCATTACGAAAACGAAGACCCGAAATAGTTAAAATCAATCAACGCATTATCGCACAAGGCGTATTAAGGACGTTGTTCTCCCCACTCCTCCGTTTTTCACCAGACAATGCCCCCTGGTACATCTTTTCGTTTTCAGAGCAAAAAGAACTTTTCAGATCAAAAAGTAGTTAAGCGAAAACTCCTCGGTTCTGCAATATCCCAGTGTCTTCATACTATACATAAAATACTTTGAAAGTGCCTTCAAAGATTGGGTCCGGGACTGAAACGTTATATATCTGTTGGGGGTGAATACTTTGAGGGAACAAAATAAAACAATTCAGTGAAACCTATGAAGGATAAAAATTTAATATGCTTAGATGCATTCATATTTCCGTAATCAACTATACCTGAACATAAGCCAAGTTTCGTTTAAACGTATTTTATCCTTTTTAATTGGGACTTGTCCTTCAAAATATTGTTTAACGTATCTAATAAAATATGTATAATTGATAAAAAGTTCGCCATAAAAATACAGAAGTGTTATAATCTAAAGAAGCATATCAAATTAATTGGGAATGAATCAGTTCATGTCTTTTATTGCCCGAAGTAGCAAAATAATTACATGTTTCAAATATTTGTCCCATGTTTGTTTTTACGCGAAAATCTGGTGTTGCAAGACACTATTGTGTTATCAAACATGATACGTGATGAAGAAAGCACTGCAGTATTATTCAAACTTAATATTCAATGTCATTTAACATGCACTTGGATGTTTTTACCTCAGATCTATAGACTGGGACCGACACAAAACACAAATATTAAAAGTTTTTAGAAATATGAACGCGCAAACAAGCAGGTGAAATTGGCGCTCCCGTCATCATTTAGACACCCAAGACCACCAAAGAGGTACAAAGTAAGAGAGCCATGATATAAGCATGAGGTTATCATGTCTAGTGTTGTTTCAGTCTTGGTAACAAATTAATGTAAAAAAGGGCACATGAAACGTTGAGGAGCAAATTTTGATACATTCCAGTATTTATTTTCCATTTTCCTGTGGTATTGTCAAAATGAGCAGGCAAAAATATCATACAAACGCTCATGTATCTAAAAAATCATGAAAAATTACTGCTTAAGAAAAGAGTGTCAAGACTTTGTATGGGAGATATAACCTAAAATAGGTGCGAATAGGTGTGATCATTTTAAACTGACTCCATTTCTGACTTTTCCCCATGAGCAGACTTATCAAACCGGAAGGTTATTTTCACAAAAACCTACGTCCATTACTCTAGACGGATTTCGTTTTCATAAATCATATTTTTAAATGTTAAAAAACAGTAATTTTAAATATTGTTGACTAGATAACCAACTTATTACAGAACTGCAAGAAACTAAAATCCTAAAAACCAATAAAGGTCTTCGAGAATATAAAATTTTATTTACCAGGTCTATCTTAAATTTTACATAGAACAATTTTTATCAAAGCTTCATACAATCATCATCTAATACTATGATGAATTGTGCACACAATTCTTTTTCATTTTTTTTCTTAAAGGAGATTATAAGATTTTCCTTTATCTTAAGACCTTAAACTTTTTATCGCTCTAGACAAATACATTAAACTGCTTGTACAAATTTATTTAACTTCGTACTCTTTAATGCTTGATATCTATGTTAAAGTGTTAATATTCACAAATTTGGTAAATAACCATATCATGAAATTTAGTTCAGATAGATATTGAAGAACTTTTAATTTCACCAAAAAATGTCAATCTATAAATGAAAAAAACGAACAAAAAAAAAGAAAAAAACACACACAAAAGAAATACAACAAAAAAAACCCCACAACCACCACCAACAACAACAACCACAACAACAAAAATACAAACAAAGGAAACTAACGGCTTAAAATAGACAAAATACCAGAAGTTTGGCTTTGTAAATTCCTAAATTCGATGAAATTAAAAAAAGTAAGATAAGATACATTTGCCATTTCCGTTCGCTTTTAACTGCTGGAAAGGTAACATTACTGACAATCTAGACAAAATGCGTGTCTCAATGAGAACGTAGAATCAACACAACGTTTAAGTCTTATCGAATACATGCTTACCTTTAAGAAACGAACATTGGATGGTGCAACGATACATTTAAAAATGCACTTCTATCGTCACTCATTAAAGATATCAAAAAGAATTTTATTTTAATAGTATGCTTGCTGTAAATGCAATTCTGGCAGTCCCGGACGGAAATTGAGGAATTGATCCATTTGCAACATGATACCGAGATTAAAAGAAGAAAAACTTAAAAAATCAAAAGAAGAGCTATTTATGATTAATGTCTTTTTATGCAGAAAAAAAAATAACATTGAAAAGTAAAAATAAGAAAAAGACCGCCAGGACAAGCCCACAGAACCCAGTTCACTCAGCCAGCCGCTCAGGCATGACATCAAGCAAGGGACGATAAAATATAAGGAAAATATAATAAAATGATCTTAAAACCATCATATCGGCAAGGCTCTCGTACTCGGTCCTTTTTGTGTAAAAATAATCTCAGCTAAATTCTTAAAAGTCCTGTAGTCGCTTTGACTTTGAAATTGTCCATCGCAGATGGTCCATGTATTTGAATTGAAACATCCATTAGTATACGAATTGGTCAGAAGAATGGATGTACGACTTCCGCTATCATAAGAGAGATCAAATAATGAAGCATTTTTTCGAAATATTTAAGATCAATGTAAAACTATAAATATTACGAAACTATAATGAGATAATTGTGATTTTATGTATGTAGGAGGGAGATATTAAACGAGACAAAATAAAACGCTTATGTCGCTAACCTGTGAAACATCTAAGAAAGAAAACTTTTTCTTATCCGTTACCACGCGAAACAAAGGAATAGAACGATTTTTAATATGTTGTTACAAAACAAAAGTAGGGAAAAACAAGAACAATACATTTCGCTAATGGCAACGAGAAAGTTACTAAGAAAATCGTGCGATCTTGTTGTCATGAGACTATAATCAAGAGAAATAAAATCAAATGTTGGCTTACTCGTGGCAATAATGTGTTATTTATTTTGGGCGAAGTCTTTATCAATAAGACGGTTTGGGTTCCAGAACATGTCAAAAATTAATAAACTTTTAGACGACATAAATACAACAGATAAAGATATCACAAAACTTATACTTTATACTTTTTATGAAAGTCAATATATTTATCACGTTATCTCCAAATATACAATAGAATCAAGACATATATTGATTATTTACATTGTTCGATGTATTCAAAGGGCCAAGTTCTGAATGACACGATGACGTATTTGTTTCTTTAACGTGTTAATTTTAAGAAAAAAAATATATGCATACAGTAACATGTTATTGATAGAAATAGTATTTTCATTTTAAATTAGTTTTTACACAATCCTAACCCACGCTGAAACTTTATGTCATAAATGGTCTCAACAAAGTCGTGATCTGCTTTTGATTTTACATCTTATGTCATTTCTTTCAATTTGTGGTCAGGTGTCGGATATGATCATACCAAATACCATCAATAGCGTTATTTCTTGAATTACAGAACGTCCGTGGTGGACCAATTCACTTTAAGAAAGGGCGTCCCTGGCCGAGTTGTTAAGGCCTGCTGTGTGTTCGGATCATCATGATTCTTTTATGCAAGATAGCTATCCAGCTAGTTTACGGACGCACGTTTGTTTTGTTCAGGTATCTGAAATAATGCAGGGAGGGGCACCTGTGGTCTTCCTTTACCATTAAAGCTAGTAAGTCGCAAAATAACCTCTACTGTATGGGTGCGGCGCAAAGCACAACCAAAAATGTCACTTTAAGGAAGAGCAGAATATGTGTGTGTGTTTTTTTTTTAGATCCGACATTCTTTTAAAAGTTTGTAACAATAAAGCAGACAATGACAAAAATATACATTAACGTTATAAATGATTAATATCCGCATATCATAAATCAACATTATAAACTGGTAGAATTCGATTTCGGTAGTACTGCAGACACCAATTACCTCTACAAAAACACAAACAAAACAACAGAATAAATTCTGTCGAAACTTAAGATAACCTCTCCGAGAAGCAAATAAAATCTTTGTCACCGTATGGCTATACATTATTTTAATAAATTGATAGAATTCGTTTCATGTTGTACTAAAGATAAACCCCAAAGAACTTATTTAAAAAAAACCAAGTTTAATGACGAGATCAATTTGGACTATACTATCCACCAGAAACACAAAATACTTTTCTTTTATGTGACTATACATACAAGTTTTATTTGGTGTCAATAAACCATGACTTCTGTCCTATCAGCTGATATAAAACTGAAGATTTGACATATCTTATTCAGATATAAAATTGGAAGCGTAACGTTGATAAAACATTTAAACCTTTTTTTACAAATATATATATATATAAGAAAATTGTTTTTCTTATGACAAATATAGCACAACAAAGTTTGAATTGAATTTTTAACAGGATTTGTTTTTTCAGTGGAAAGATGAAGTTTCAAGCAAGTTGTGTTTTAATTTGTCTCTGCTTGATAGCTTGTCTTGTAAAGCAAGGTTTGATTTTTTATTTTTGATTTTAGACTTTTTTTAATATTTGATTTCCTTGCTTAAAACAAGTCTTTGTGTATTTTAATGTTCAAGATAATATGAGGTTTGAAATTTTTTTTATCATATTTATGCAATAAAATGTGATATTTAGAAATAATGCTACAAAATGTAATGTTTCGCACCAATGAAAATCGAAAAAATATTTGACATATTTTTAACTATTGTAGAGATAGCCTTATTAGGTTATCAGCAACGACATCATATAAGGAGTGACATAACGAAGGAATTAGAATTGACTGTCACAATTCATCAATTTTCATAAATATCTTTAAAGATATTCATTAACATTCATTTAGTATCAATTACGTGTTTCATAGTCATAATCTTTCATTTTTTCACGAATGAAGAATACTAAAAACAACTACAACAAACAAAAATAATAAAAATATCGCATTTGAACTATAGATTACGAATTCTGTAAGATTAAAATAATACGTCCCTTCTATACCCTTGAAAAAGTCTTAAAGAAATGAATAATATTTTTGTGAAATGACTGAGAATTTTAATTTTAAAATTTGCAGCTTAAATTACAATTGGAAAAAGAAAAATGAAAAAAAAAGAAGCATATTTTTTTTATACAAAAACGTTTTGGTTACTTAGAAGTAAATCAATTTGGTGATAAAACAAATCGTTTGCATATATCCGTTTGCGCAGGTTTCTGAAGCTTGAAACTTTTTACGGTTATTAGAACAAAAGAACTTTTTTGTTTGCTTGAAATAGGCGAATCAGCTACAAGACCTCCCGGACCTGCTGCCGGGAGTTCAGGTTCAGGAACTGGTACAGGTTCTGGTGGAAGCTCTGGTTCAGGATCTGGTTCTGGTGGAAGCTCTGGTTCGGGAACTGGTTCGGGTTCTGGCGGTAGCTCTGGTTCAGGAACTGGTTCTGGCGGTAGCGGTGGTTCGGGAACTGGGGTTCTGGCGGTAGCTCTGGTTCAGGAACTGGTGCGGGTAGTGGATCGGGGACCGGTGGTGGTGGTGGTGGTGGAGGGTCTTCAGGTGAGGTTTAGCGAAACTTTCAACTTCTAGTCTTTCAAAACAAAGAAAACATTTATGGATATGCTTCTTGTACCTTTTTAGCAATATGTTATATGCTCATGGTCCATTATATGATTTTCATTGCTTAAAGTGTCATTATGCCCATCCAAGGATATATGCTGAGTGAACAGGTGACCGTCAAAATAAGTTTACATCTTGCCATAATTGGTTTAATTTCATAGTAATGATAAAATACTCACGTTGGCCGAGTAAATGTATGTTTGTATCAATCGGAAAAAAAAACTTTTAATGTTCAATTCAGTCTTTTTATATTTTTTAGCATATTTATATTATCCTACACCTTTTCCAATATCACTTGTTGGTCAATCACCATTTGAAAAGCCAATCTTTTGACATATAAAGCCAATTCAGTTCAACTTTACAATGAAAAAATAGCATGATATACAGTATTACAATGATAAAGGATCGACGACTTCTTACGATAATATGCGAGTACCATATAAACAACGATATTTAACACAAACGTTGGACTGCTTTAGCAGGGACAAAGAAAGACAATACACGGTTATTGTAAATATATGAATAAATCTCATTTTCGAACAAAGAAAGTAAATTGTTTGACGAAGACTTATACCAAATTACGTGACTATTATAATAATGCAAATAATTTTCTCCAACTCTGATTGGCTAAACAATTTGTATACTATGACGTATACTATGACGTATATACCGTGAACAACTGAAGTACGCACAAAAACAAACCGAAGATGTTATTTACCAGTGTGTGCATAAAGTCCATCATTAAGTTCGATTCCTTTATGGCAATTTCTCGAGTGAAATATAATTACTTTAAGAAAAGTTAAATGTTACCCCACAATGATGGCTTTAAAGTTTTGTTACTTTTGAACGTCTGACATATTATGGTCTTTTTTCAGCGCTCCGAAGAAAACATTCTTATATTTCTGTTTTTATGAACTTGTCATCAATACCAATTTCCGATATAATGTATTCGATATACAGGTTGCTGACTGAATGACTGGATATATGGGAGAATATAGCCTCAGCTAGCCCTTCGGGTCATATATATTTCATACAGGCTATATCTTCTTGTATGTCCCGACTGATAAAACTAATAATATAAACAGAGGTTTGCAATTTAATAGTCGCCTAGCGGCAAGGGTAAAATAAAATTTTAACCGTTTTATAAGGTCATACAATCCACATTTTTTATAAGTTAAACTGAAGTTGCAGTAGAAATACTATGATCAAATCAACAAAAACAACAAACACTTACACATTTATGACTAGAGTATCCAGAGGATATTTTGATACATTTATTTACTCGGTCATACAATCCGCAAAACGTTTTTTTATAACTTACAACGTTAGTCGCAGTAGAAATTCTATGATAAAAATAAACAAAAACAACAAACAATTACACTGTTACGGCTAAAGCATCTTGAGGAATATTTTGATATATTGGTTTTGTAAATTCACATAACACTGCTGTATTTACTTTTTCAGCTGTTCATGTAAGCGGTGTCATGGTTGCATTGGCTGGAGTTCTTGCATTTATTCATAACACAAAGGCATCTTTCTAAGGCTCAAAACGTTTTGAGATACATTTTAGAACTTGATACTTGTTTGGGTGTTATACTGTCACAAGTCCTCCGTGGATATATGATGACGAAATGTGATCATTTTCTAATTACCTATAATTACACGTACTTGTCAATAACATGTTTTGCTTATATTACCCTTCATGTCACCAAGCCCTATCATTTTTATGACGGTAAAAGATGACGAAATCAACAACAAAGCGGTTGACTTTCTGATTACCCAAATACAACGTTTAAACATTAAAGATAAATAACATTGTGTTTCTTGTTATATCATTATTCCCAGATGAAACCTTTGTCTGCTAAATTTGTGTTATGGATTTGACGCACTTTCAATTTGGAACAGCCTATTAAAAGTTACAGATATTGCAATGTCAAAAACACAAAAATATCGAGAAAAACAAAATGTCCAGAATGAAAAAGTTGAAAATGTTCAGACTCGGTTTGATCAACCCTGTCCATGTATGGTACTAAAAAGTGAAAATTACCGTACACACCTCCTACAACCGGCTAAAACAGAATTCAATATCTAAAAGTCACCAAACGAATAAACCTTTGTCTGTACTCTCCTGCGCATCGGTTGAATGTTTAAACATCGCTGGGACTGTATTCAGTGAGCTGCGAAGGGAACGTAGCTTGAATGGTGCTATACGCTTTGCAAAGGCTATCATGATATTCAGTTCCATGAGGTTACAAGTTAATTCGGCTGCAAAGCAGCAGAGTCTTATATAATTTGAAAAAGACGCATGATTTCCTTCGGAATGACAGGATTTATTTCGCGAGACGTCATTAGAAATACAAGTACATAAAAAACATTCACATACATGAGCTTTACCTTTCATAACCAATTTTAATTTTCTATCTTTGTTGCATTTCTTCAAATTGAAAGTCAACGATTTCTAATCTCCGTATAAAAATGGACTGTGCAACTGTCTGTAGTTTACCGAGATTTAATATCGTTGATTGACATGCGTAAACACGGTCTAAATAGGAACTGTTTCGCATTTAGACAAAACGCATCGGTGCAAGAGCTGTGGCATTGTACTGTCATAAAACATTTGATTTTTTAATCTATCTATTTGTTGACTTTTAGAAACTAGAAAACAAGTTCGTTTTAAAGAAATTTATCTCATAAAGATTTGTATTTTTCTTTTGAGATGATTCGGATATTATTGTGCTGGAATAGTTCTGGTTTCAAAAACTTAAATAGTCGCATTTAATATATTATAGCGAGGTCAAACGTGTGCTATTTTATTTTGGTTAGATTGCTATTTTATTTTGGTTAGATTTGGTAACGGGTCTGATGCCATAAATGTCTTACATGCTACGTTTATGCTTAAATTTGATGTTTTATTATTGATCATTTCCTTATTAAAAGTTTATATATCGTTTAATTAGGATATAATTAATCAATGTCCATTAATAAACCATTACGAGCAACACTAGTTATATATAAATAAAACACATGGTACCGGATAACTGGCACAATTCGACACTCTCTTAAGCATACCCGTAATGTCAAAGAATAAAATGAGTACATGTACTACTAGTACGCAATGTAAAGTAGTACTTGGACGCAATGGAATTTCGTGTCGTAACGTTTCCCCTTTAATTTCAACAAATGTGCAGATCATAACAGACATTCGTCTATGTCTCTTCTAATGTATATATTGCACAGTTGATTATTTTTCTTCTCAGTCATTTTATGCGTGCGTAAAACCTCACTTGTACCTATTTTTAAGGTGAAGGCTGATTTGACCTCAAGGTTTAAACCAATCAGAAGCCGGTGTGGATTTCTTAACATCCATTTTTTCGAAAATCGCAAATGATAACTCCTGCAGAACCATTACCTATGATTTGATGTTAGTTACAATTTGAAAAATAAAAAAAGTACCAACACTATTACAAACATGCGAACATGGCCATTTTCTTTTTAAGAAATTTCTGTCTTTTCTACTGAAATAGCAAAATGGTTATATGTTCTTAAATATTTTTCCAAAACAATTCCTTTAACCGTTAAAATCGTAATATCAAAGCGAGGCAATACTAGACTATCAAACATGATAATTATAGATAGTCAAGTTAATTAAATATGCATTTGATTTTTTGTCTCCGATCTTAAGGCAAAGACCGCCACAAAACTAGAAAAGAAAAAAGTGTGTATAAATATGAATGCGATAATTCAACAAACGCAAATTTCGTTAATAAATACCTGCTCCTAACAACATTAAGGCACCAAGAACTGATTCAATACAGTTTTAGCTGATAGTTGTTAAGAGCTCTAGATAAAATTGTTCTGCATAAAATATAAGTCTAATAGTGAATGTTTTATATTATCAAAGATCTTAATTGTATTTAAATGAGTTTGGTTCACTAATGACTAATTTGAAAGATAAATCTTCTGCTGTCTCCTCTCCTTGTAATCCTGTTTATAACCATCCTGATATATTTAGTGTTGCCAAAGAATAACTTCTGGTAGGCTAAACTTGTTTTAGGTGGGGATATGGTTCTCTTGCGGTACACTCCCTCACTATTACCTATTTATATTCATAGTTTTTTTGTCTGCACGGGAAAAACATATCATAATTGCTTTGACCTCTTAGAGTGAAGTTCTGTCATAAGTCAAATCAATGTTCGTAACATTTGATATAAATAATGAAAAGGAGATCAATGAGAAACTATCAGAAGTTTTAATGATGTCACATCATTCATTTATGTACCAACCTTTTTTGTGTGAGAAAAGAAACATGAATGTTCTTGAAATAAAGAATTTGAAAAAAAGTTACAATTTCAGGTTATTTCTAGTGAATTTATTTGTATTATTTTAGAATAAATTATTTTTACCACCTAATGTTCAAAACTTTATTTTCATTTGTCTGAATTGAGACACAACTTTGCATGAAAGTATTTACAAAGACTTTTTATCGTTAGTTTAATTTGTAAAGCAGTATTTTTCCATGATGTTTTAGATAGATGCACGTTTGCATGATTTTCGTCAGCTGGTTTTGACAATACAATGGGAAAGTGGCAAAAATATACTGAAATGTATCGAGATGATTTGCACCTCATTATTTTACTCCCTGTTTTACATTTTATGTCCCTGTTTTAAATTTGCGTGTAAGGAAAAAACAACAACAACATTTACCTAATCCTTTGTCAATATGTTCTTCACGGAGATTATAAGATTTTCCTTTATCTTAAGACCTTAAACTATTTATCGCTCTAGACAAATACGTTAAACTTCTGGTACGAATTTATTTAACTTACTACATTTAAATGCCTGATATCCATGTTGAATGTGTTTATACTCACAAATTTGGTAATTACACATATTATATAACGTAAATTCAGATAAATATTTAATTTTATTTCACAAAAAAAAAAACAACAAAAAAAACAACAAAAAAACAAAAAATTAAATAAATAAAACTGAAAAGAAAATATTAATATTAAATATGATACAGCCAGCAACTAAAAATTAACAAAACTCCAAAGTTACTGTTTGTTAAATCTTTAAATCCTTTTTAAATAAGTGCTGGATCAAGAACGAAAATGTACTCCATGCAAAGAAGGGAAAATTATCGGGAGTACATTTTTACAATGAAAATAAAAAAGTAAGATGACATACATTTGTCTTTTTTCCGAGCGCAACTTTAACTGCTGGAAGCGTATTATAACTGTCAGTATAGACCAAATGCGTGTCTCAAAGTGAATGAAGAATCAATACAACTTTTAAGATTTATTTAAGAAATGCGTATTTTTAGATACGAACATTGGATAAGATGCGTGCAACAAAACATCCAAATTAGCACTTCTTTCGTTACTAATTAAAGGTGATATCAAATAAACTTTATTTTTATAAAATGCTTGCTGTAAATGAAATTCTGGCATTACAAACGGGAACTAAGAAATTGATCAATTGGCAACATGTTACTGAAATTAAATGTAGACAATATAAGAAAGCGAAAGAAGAGCTTTTTTTATAATTCATGTTTGTTTACGCAGAGAAAACAGCACAGAAAGGTTAAGAACATGATATCATCAAGGCAAGGTGACGTTCACAGAACGCAGTCGCCGCTATGACAATGCTTTTTGCAAGTCACCGATGAAAATTGAAGAAAAATAATAACTGATTTCAATATTTTTCGAAAAGTTAGATAATTTGTTAAAAATATAAACATTACGAAACTACAGAGATATCATTCTGATTTCCATATAAGAGGTATTAAGTATATAACCAAAACAAAAAAAAACATGTTGCTAACTTTGGAAATAACTAAGAAAGAATTTTTTTCTTTTTCGTGCCTGAAATAATGTACCGTCTTCTCCACCATTTAAGTTGATAAGTCGTAAAATAACCTCTACTATATTGGTGCGACGTAAACCCAACCAAAAGTTACTTTAAAGGGAGACAAAGGCAAAATATTCATTTCTTTGATTTGAATTTTTCTTTCGATATTCTATAAATGTCCTCGAAAATAATACACTAAGCTGTCACAGGAAACCTTTTCTCAGAATTAAATGTTGGTTTCCCTAATCTTGACCCACGTAGTTCAGATTAGAGCATTTAGATTTCACAAAAGTTTTTATAGAGAAGTATGAAAACCTTAAAGTACCTGTCAAATGAATGACCAAGACTTATTTAATATAACAATATCAACATTATCTGTAATTGTAATTTCCAGAGGTTTTTTTCTAGTTACATGACTTGTTTTAAATCTACTCAGTGACTACGTCGACGTCTTAATTTTGTTAAACATATAAAGAGATAATTACTCTGCAAACCCAAAATATATAGTATTTATACATATATTCATGCTAGCGGTTTTAAAAATGTAGTAGGTTAACTTGAATGTTTGCAATTCATATATGAAAGAACATAATAAATGAAAAAAGGAGTTTTAAAAATGTCATTGTAGCATGATTTGAGAAAATAAGATCAATTTAATATTTTTGTCATTCATTTGCCTAAGTACCCCTTTAAGAATATATTGTTTTTTTGTGTTTTATGGTTTTCTTTTTAAATCTGTACTTCGAAGAAGACATTCTTTTAAAGGATTGCAACAGTAAATAAACAATGACTTAAGTATTACAGGTGTTTAATGTAAAAAACTAACGTTGTAAATTGATACTATCACGCATGTCATCAGTCAACGATATAAATAAATAGAATTCAATTCTCCAAAAAAGGAAATAAAACGTAATAAATTCTTCCAAATACAATCCTGCCACCTAAGGGTTATACATTCT